GGATTTTGTGCCATTATCCGTTATCTTCCACCTTAATTGGTTTGATCATACATATTACCACACTTGAATCTATACAAAGAGAAAGAAAAAAATGAGTGAAAAGAATGTTATAATCAATATTATTAAGCATTTAGAGTAGACACGTTGAAATCACTACATATTCACCATCTTAGGAACCTTATTTCTCTTCATTTCTCGTCTTCAGTTCTATATTTTCAATCCCATCAAGCTTCCTTGTTTTACCCACGTATTCATGACCTAAAAATTGGCAATTGGGGTTTGTTTATCTGTCTTCAATTCTATTGAATTGAAAACTAATCAAAGTAAGTCGAAAGAATATTCTTTGTGCCTTTTGAGGTTAGTTTTCATTCTTTAGGAATGCTACTGAGCTAATGGCAATGGGGGTTTCCACTCAAAATCGTCCTTTGAAGCCCTATTCATCTTCTCCCATTCATCACTTACCCATTAGGGCAATGCCAGACTCTGTCAATCTATCAATAACTCATAAGGGGTACCCTTAGTGTTGTAGACCAAATTAGCTTAGAGTGAGAAATATCCCTGCCCACGACAAAGTGGGAAATATCTTTATCCATGGCTGTTGAAGCCGATGAAAAAATAAACCCAAAGATTCCCAATGAAGAGGAAGAGGAGGAGTTCTTACACTGAATTCCTACCTTCCATTCCTCTCAGTTGACCTCAAAGGGGAGGTATCGTTACATTTGGACTCGAAAGCCGTGAGTGGTGACAGTGGTGGAGTAAGAGATGAACGTTAACACGACACCGTTTGTGGGACGAGTTAGTGGGGCGTGCCTTTTAATTTTTCCCCTTCCTATGTAGGTGTCGATGCCAGAGATTACCAACAACAAGTCGGTCCCTGTCATGTTGGTGTTAGTGGTTGGTTCAACAGTAGAACCAGTATGTCCCAAGAACAGAGTTAGCATCATTTGCCTAAACCGAAAAGGGCATTTTCAACCATAAAAGGGTATATTATGGATTGTTGAAAAATATAACAATCACGCGATATCATATATGAACGGTTTACGACAGAAAGTTAACGGTAAGGGAAGTTTTAGGTAATTGTCAAAAACAATAAGGGTGGTTTAAGACAATAGTTAAATAGTAGGGGTATAGTTTGTCAATTTGTTAAACCATAAGGGTAGTTTAAGAATTTTTCCTTAAAATATATAGGTTTATATTGTTAAAAATAATGGCATATATTTAGGTAGTAGCATTTATTGTGAAAAATAACTTAACAATATAGGAGTTAATAAGATAAAATGAGATTTAATACCTTAAGTATAAGGCTTAATGAGAGGGGATTAAATGAGGTGGAGAGTAATAATTGAAGTGACATTTCCAACCCTTACAATTAAAGATGGATTAAATACACAAATATACACATTTTAGTAGCCATTAAAACTGACATGAAAGTTATAATAAAATGACTTTTATACCCTTTCTTAATCAAAGAAATAAAGGGTAATTTTAGTCCAAAAAAAGTTGCACATTGCATTCACACTTTTATATATAGTATAGATTAATTACAGTTAAATACCATAATTAATAAAAAATATTGTTATAAAAAACATCTAATATTGTTAAGTAATTAAATAAATATTATAATTAATAAAAATATTGTTAATTAATGAATTACTAATTAATTATATCAAAATACCATTAATTAATTAATAGTATTTTCAGAAATATTGTTTATTAATTAAATAAATTAAATAATTAATGATGGTATTTATTTATTTATTTTAGGTATTTTGGTAGGCTCGGGGGTATTTTAGTTAATTCAGGTTTAAGGAGCCCAAAACAAAATTCTAACCTAATGGTGGGTATTTTGGGTTAAAAAAAAATGAAGGGTGGAGATTGGTTTGAGTATATATAGTGGTTTTGCATATATGAGCCAATGAAATTGGCCAAAATTGAATCTTTTTATATGAAGGGCAAACAAGGGTTTTTTTATTGAAATTTTATAGGGTGGGGTTTTTAGGCATTTTTGAATCGATTGGTGGGGTAAGATTGGCCTAAATAGGCTCAGATTAGGTAGATATTAAGGAGTAGTGATTCAGTTAATTTATTAACTTTGAAACAGAATCTTGGCGTAGAGGGGAAAATGAGGGATTTTTTTTTTGTTGAAATTTGGTAGGTGGTGTTTTTGAGCGTTATGGGTTGATTAGTAGGGCCAAAATGGCCCAATAAAGCTGAGATCGGGCAGATTCGGAAAGGACTTGATACAATCAGTGTGAAGCTTTGAAAATGGAATCTTTGTGTAATAAATGGGCAAACAAAGGTATTTTGGGCTGAATTTTTATGGGTAAGGTTTTTAGGGTGTCTAGGATCTTATGGAAATATCTGATTGATTTTGGAGGGCCAAAATTATGGAAATTTGGGTCAACAAGAGCATCCAAAATGGAATGTTTGTTCAATGATGGGGCAAATGGGAGAATTTTAGGTTGAAAATTTATGGATAGATGTTTTTGGTGTGTCTAGGGTTCAATTGTATGGTCTAATTGATTCAGAGGTGTTAGGATCCAGGAGGTTTGGGTTGTAGGTGCTTTAGGCTAATGAGAGGGTTCGAAAGGGAATCTTGGTTTGATAAAAGAATAAACGGAGGAGAATCTTGGGTTAAAATTTCAGGGGTAGATATTTTAGGAAGTCTTTGGTTTGATGACAATGTTCGGGGATTTTTAAGTACTTTGGGATGATCATAACGGTCTGATCGGGTGTTCGGGGTAAATTGGGGTTTACGGCAAATTGAGCAAAAATCAGGCGCTGACAATGGGTTTTCTAGAGGTATTGGCCTCTTCAATCATTTGGTGGGGTTTTATTGGTCCATCAATGGTATGATCAAGGGGATTTAAGAAATGAATATCTTGGCCAATGAGATAAGCCCAAATTAAAATCTTAGTGTGACGAAGAGTTAAATGGGGGATATATGTGATGAAATTTGGGGGTAAGGTGTTTATAAGTATCCGAGGCTCTTTAAAATCCCATTAACTCCAATTTGCAATTCAGTTAAAAAGTCCCATGCACCACACATATTCTAACTAGTATATACTAAAACACAACAGTCTAGAAATGTTCTCATTTTTTTTTTATATTTTGATTTTTATTCCATGTCATTTTTTAAACAACCAATGAGATGCTTTCCTTCCCCGTAAAAAAAATCTTTCTTTCTTTCTTTCTCTACCTCCCTCTCTCTCTCTCTCTCTCTCCCACACGTTGCTAACATAAACAATCTATTCTCTTAAAATTTCTCCTAAACTACCTCCCCCACTTTCTCCTAAATTGTCTATAATTCCTATTTATCCTTTCCCTCACTTTTTATTTATATCTATTTAAATAACTAAATATTTTAAATAATAAAATATTTAACATAACTAGATTTTAAATAGTTAAAATAACCAAATTATAAAATAAATTTTAAAAATTTCTTAAAAGTAGAAAAATAATTATAACATAATACTCAAATTAATAATAATTTAATAGTTTACAAAATTCACAATTAAATTATGTAATAATAGTACAAATTATAATTTTGTGGATAATTAAAATTAATAAATAATTAATATTTTAAATTTAAATAATGATATTATTTAAATAACTAAATAATATTGTAAATAACAAATTTCACTTATATCAATTAGTAATTCTAGAAAGTAACTTTTAAAAAATAAAATTTATTAATAATAATTTTAAAATCTTAATATATTTTTATCATATATTTATATATACTAAAATTAATATTTATTATATTTTTAGTATTTATTTATTATTATTTTTGTGATAAATATATCAATAATTATATATAAATATACTTTTGTCTTATTGTTTAACAAAAAAATTTAAAAAATTATTGGAGATTAAACTATTATTTGAGATTACACTATTTATTGACTAATTTAATATATTTTTTAGTAATTATTGTATTTTTATTAGTTATTTATTGTATTTTCATTATCAATATATTTTCAATAATTGTGTATTTTTGCTATAAATTTTCAATAGTTATTAGAGATTAAGCTATTATTTATTATAGACTAGACTATTAAGTTAGCCGAAATTAGGAGTGTTCACGGGTTGGTTCATTTCGGTTGTAGATTGTTTGGCCAACCACATTGACCTGGTCTGTTTGGGGAGTTGGTCACCTACAACCGACTAACCATTAGTGAAACCGACCAACACGGGTTGCATCGGTTTGGGTCGATTTTTGGTTTGGTTGGTCAGTTCAAAAGATTTAAACTTAAAAAAAAATTTAAATTAAAAAAATACAGTGGTGTTATAAAAAAATAAAATTTATGAATTAAAACTTATATGATAAATTATTTTTAAAATGTATATATATATATATATATATATTGGATTGTTTGATTTTGGTCGGTTTACAAGTGGCTAAAACGAAACTGATCCAACTTGGTCAAGTTGGAAAATTGTTAAACCAAAGTCGACCGAAAATACTAGAAAACTGATCTGGTTGGGTTGGTCGGTTTCATCAGTTTGATGAACAACCCTAGATAAAATTAATATTGTTATTTTTGTATATATTGTAAAAAAAAAACTTATTAAATGCAGTATATAAAACATAAATAATTATTAATTATTTAAAAAATAAAAAATAAAAAATAATTATATACTCTTATATATTTATATTGTTTAGCTTTTACTTAACGAATCCCGTACATCACACGAATCCCCACTAGTAACATTTCTAAGTTTTATCACATAAAACTTAAGAATACGCCCCATATAAAATATCGTATCGGAAGACTTGACCGGAGCGGAAATTTTGCGAATTTCACCGGTACGAAACTGTTAATAATAGCTGAGTTGGGACTTTCTTTTCTCGTTACCGAACCGGCGAAATAAGAGGGGCGTCCGGTCCGGTCCAACCCTCTTTTATATTGGAGCTCAAAATCAAATATGAAGTATAGAACAATAGAATCCCAACTAAAAGACAAAAAAGTCTCTTCGTATTTTTATTTTCCTCTATTTTCTTTCTCGTGCCCTTCTCACCCGCCTTTTCCTTTCTCTCTTGCCCGCTCTGGTTAGGGCTTCTCGTTTCACGTCTCACAGTCACAGCCTCACAGCCTCACAGCCTCTGAGGCTCAGTTTAAATTTTAAAGCCGCCATCCGATACTGTACTCCGAAGGAAGTAAGCTTATTACACTATTTCTTTACATTCATTTACTATTTCTTATCGTTCATTATTCTCTCGCTCGCTGAAGCTCTATCGAGGACTAACAGAAACCCTAATAAAACAGACAAACCCACACAGCCCCTGGTAATTTGGTTGTGTTTCTAAATTCATCAGTTTGGCTGTTCATCGCTGCGATCGAGCGTTCGCGACTCTAGAGCTTGCCGCGTCATTCTTTTAGTGTTAGGGCTTGATCTTGATCGATTCCTTTTTCTTTTCTTATTTCTAAAAGATCTGGTGAAGGAATTTCGTACATTGTCTGCATTGGGGGAGCAATCTAGGGTTTGAGTTTGATGCTTTGGGTGAGCTCCGCATCTGCCGAACGGGGGAACGGTTTCGATTCAGGTTTCCGATGGCCAATCCCGGCGTCGGGACTAAGTTCGTCTCTGTAAATCTCAATAAGTCGTATGGGCAGCCTCCAAGTTCTCTGGGAAATGCGACAACAAGTCGAGTCCGGCCAGGTAGTCATCATGCCGGTGGTGGAATGGTGGTTCTTTCGAAACCTAGGAATTCAATTGTGGGTGCGCAGAAGAGTGGACCCAGGCTTTCAGTTCCACCCCCCTTGAACTTGCCATCATTGAGGAAGGAGCATGAGCGGTTTGATGCCTCTCTGGCCGGTGGAGGTTCAGCTGGTGTCGGCAGTTCTAGTTCTGGATCCCGACCCACTTCATCTGGTATGGGCTGGACGAAGCCCGCCCCTTCTATTCTTCTAGAGAAAAATGGTTCTGGTGATCACTCCTTACTTGGAACATTGGTAGGTGGGATTGAGGCAATTGATGGCGGGGATATGCCCTCTTATTCTGCAGACAATGCGTCCAAAGGAAGCAGTGTGTATATGCCGCCCTCTGCTCGGTTGGGGACGGCTGAACCCCCAGTGGTTGGTTCTGCCCGTGAATTTACTCCAGTGGAGAAGGCTGTGGTTTTAAGAGGTGAAGATTTTCCTTCCTTACAAGCAACATTGCCTGCTGCATCTGGTACTGCTCAGAAGCAGAGATATATTTTGCACGAGAAGCAGATGCAGAAGCATAAGCAGAAAATGAGTGAAGAAACATTGGGTGGGCAGACAGACAGTTCCTATATGAGGCCACAGCTTCACATGCGCACACAAATGCAGTCTTCCCGTCTTACTGTTGGCAGTGGCTCAAAGAACAATGGTGTGATCCATGGATCAGGTAGTTCCAGCACTGCTGAGCAGCTGCACAAACATGATAAGTACTTTCCAGGTCCACTACCACTTATTCAATTGAATCATACTTCGGATTGGGCTGACGATGAACGTGATACACGTCATGGTCTCCCAGATCGAGACAAGGAGCAATGTTTCTCAAGAAGTGAAGCCTTCCGTGATAGAGAATTTGATATGCACAGGGGTAGTGTGCTGCCACGTGCATCAGTTCATGATTTTTCTGAGGGCCGAGGCCTATGTCAAGATGAAGCTGCAAAGATGTCTTCGAGAGGGGAACCTTATGGCAAAGATGTAAGAACCCCTAGTAGAGAAGATCAAGATGTGAACTCATGGAGAGCTTCCCCACTTCCAAAAGATGGATTTAGTGCTCGTGAAGCTGGGATTGACAGAAATGGTGTTGGTGCCAGGTCTTTCACTCTGAACCGGGAAATAAACAAGGAGAATAAATACAATCAGCTTCCATTTGGAGACAATGCCCGGGATAGTTTCAGCAGTGGAGTTATGGGAACTCAAGATTTGAGATTTGGCAGGAAGGATTTGGCTTATGGGCAAGGAGGCAGGCAAAATTTTAGTCATATTGCAGTGCCATTTAGTGGTAGAGGGGGTGAACAGAATGTGCGGGACCGGCATGGTGGTGGTATCTCCAATCGGTATAGAGGTGATATGTTTCAGACCAACTCAATGCCTAAAAATTCATTTTCTTTGGGAGTTAAGGGGCTCCCTGTTAATGATCCAATACTTGATTTTGGTAGAGAAAAGCGTTCCTTCTCAACCAGCAGAAAGCCATATCAAGAGGATCCATTTTTGAAAGATTTTGGTATTGGTCCTGGGTTTGATGTGAGGGATCCTTTCTCTAGTAGTCTTGTTGGGGTGTTTAGGAGGAAGAAGGATATCCACAAACAGACCAATTTCCATGACCCTGTTCGGGAATCTTTTGAGGCAGAACTTGAGAGAGTTCAGAAAATGCAAGAGCAGGAGCGACAGCGCATTGTTGAAGAACAAGCAAGAGCCTTGGAGCAAGCTCGGAAAGAAGAAGAGGAGAGAGAACGGTTTGCTAGGGAAGAAGAAGAAAAACAGAGACGACTTGAAGAAGAAGCCAGAGAGGCTGCTTGGAGAGCAGAGCAGGAGCGGTTGGAAGCTGCCCGAAGGGCTGAAGAGCAAAGGATGGCAAGAGAGGAGGAGAGGCGGAGGATTCTTTTGGAGGAAGAGAGGAGGAAAGAGGCTGCTAAACTAAAGCTATTGGAGTTGGAGGCGAGGATTGCAAGGAGACAAGATGAAGACGTGAAAAATGACAAGTTTCCTGCTCCTATTGGAGATGGAAGAATGCCAGGAGTGGTTAAAGAAAAAGATGTATCCAGGTCAGCTGATGTCGGTGACTGGGAAGATGGTAACAGAATGGTGGAAAGGATAACTACTTCAGCATCTTCTGATTCTTCAAGTCTAAATAGATCATCTGAGATGGGTTCTAGGCCTCAATCTTCTAGAGATGGGAATTCTATCCTTTTGGACAGGGGAAAGCCTCCAGGCTCATGGAGGAGAAATGTATTTGAGAATGAGAACATCTCAACCTTTGTTCTACATGATCAGGAGAATGCTTACCGAAGTCCAAGGAGAGATGCATTTGGTTCTGGGAGATCATATCCTAGGAAAGAGTTCTATGGGGGTCCTGGTGTCATGTCTGCTAGGACATCATCTAGAGGGATAACAGAGCCACACATGTTTGATGATTTCTCTCACCCGAGGGGACACAGATGGAATCTTCCTGGGGATGGGGTCCAATACAGCAGGAACTCAGAGATTGAGCCTGAATTTTATGAGAATCTCACTGACAAGTTCACTGATATGGTATGGGGTCAGGGTCGTTCTCGTGGTAATCCTCATATGCCTTATCCAGAAAGATTGTATCAGAATGAGGTTGAAGGTTTTTCTTCCTTTGGGAGGTCAAGGCATTCAGTAAGACAGCCCCATGTTCTTCCTCCACCATCACTGGTTTCTATGCACAAAAGTTCCTTTGGAGGTGAATCTGAACATCCTAGTTCATCAGCTTTTCTTGACAGTGAGATGAGTTACCACCATTTACCAAGAAGAAGTGAACCAATTATGCAGAGGGGATATGATGGTAGTTATCAGGAGAAGTTTGAGCAACCTAGGTTGACTGATGCTCGACAAGAGAAGATTGTTTGTGAGGAGCCCAAAGTGGAAAAGACTACCACACCAAGATGCGATTCACAGTCCTCGCTTTCTGTCTCAAGTCCACCCAACTCACCTACTCACCTTTCACATGATGACTTGGATGAGGCTGGGGATTCTCCAGACTTGACAATTGCTGCAAAAGGTGAAGTGAAACCTTTGTCTGACAATGAAAATGTTGCCTCAGTAAAAGAGGATAGAAACATGAATATGATGACAGCCTCTTATTCTGTCTCCCCTGGTGAAGATGAAGAATGGGCTACTGGGAACGACTTGCAAGAGCAAGAAGAGTATGATGAAGAGGAAGATGGTTACCAGGAAGAAGATGAAGTACATGAAGGAGATGATGAGAATATTGAACTGGCTCAGGGGTTTGAAGAGTTGCATTTGGAAGAACATTGTACAATGGCCAAAATGGGCCAGTTAGTCCTAGGCTTCAATGAAGGTGTTGAAGTTGGAATGCCAAGTGAAGATGAGTCAGAAAAAAACTCTGGAAATGGAGAAAATTCAACTAGCATACAACAGGTTTCCATTAGCATTGCGGAAGATACAAGATCTTTAGATGGGTTTATTGGTAATTCACAGATGCTTCATCCTGAGAATAGCTCAGTTGATATGAGCATGGAAAATTCTTCTATAACAATCCAGGAGTGTGAGAATGCACTTCAAGATGTGGTCCTTCAGCCTGGAAATTCTCCCCATAGTGTGGCAACCACTTCTATTTATCTTCAGGGTAGCATGGATGATTCCAGTTGTTCCAGTTTGTCAGCTCAGCAGCCAGTTGCATCTTCTGTGCCTTTGCCTTCTCCATCTGTTCAATCGGTCATGTCAAATGTTTCTACTGTTCCAAGTCAGGGTGATGTACCTGTTCAGTTACAGTTTGGCCTGTTCTCTGGTCCATCACTGATACCATCTCCAGTTCCAGCCATACAGATTGGTTCTATACAGATGCCACTCCATCTGCATCCTCCTGTTGGACCATCTCTTACTCAAATGCACCCTTCACAGCCTCCTATGTTTCAGTTCGGTCAGCTCAGATATACATCTCCTATCTCACAGGGAATCTTGCCATTATCTCCTCAGTCATTGTCATTTGTACAGCCCACTGTTCAGGCCCATTATTCATTGAACCAGAACCAGGGGGGCCTTCTTCATAGCCAAGCTGGTCAAGGCACTTCCAGTCAAAACAACATAGTGGAAGATAAAATGCCATCTGTATTGAATGATAACCAATCTGCTACTGCACATGATCTATTTACCAAGGAGAATGGTTGCAAGGACATGAACAATTCGTCAGCAAGAGAAAATGCAAACAATGAACTTCTGACATCTCCGAATCAAACAGGGAGCTCTGTTATTGGTGAGAAAAAGAATGGTTTTGTTTCTCAAGACCAAGATGTGAAGAAGTATAGAGCAATTGCAAATAATAAAGAATCACATTTACAACCCGATTCCATTGCATCTCAACTTGTTCCGAGTAAAAGAGCTTTGGGTGGACCAAAGGCTGCTGGTCTTGTAACTGGTGGTACCAAAGGGAGGAAATTTATCTATACAGTAAAAAATTCTGGTTCTAGATCATCATTTCCTAATTCTGAATCAGTGTCCACTGATTCTAGTGGGTTTCCAAGGAGGATTAGACGCAACATTCGGCGAACGGAGTTTAGAGTACGGGAAAATGTTGATAGGAAGCAAATAGAGGGCTTGGTTTCATCAAGTAACGGGCTGGATGAAAAGTCAAATTTGAATGGAAGGGTGTCTAGTAGTGCTGCTGGAAGTGGGATTAAGAAGGATGCCATTTTGGTGAAACCATCCAAACAAATGGTTGATTCTGAAAGCACAGCATCTCACTCAAGTAGTTTTCATGTTGTGGATTCTGTCAGCAAGATGGAAAAAGTACTAGGAAAAGAAGTTCCAGCAAAGGGGTTTACTTCTTCTCTTGGCATTTCACACTCAGGAGAGGGAAATGTGAAACAAAACAGCAGTTTGGAGGAGGGTGTTGATGCTCCTCTGCAAAGTGGTGTTGTGCGTGTTTTCAAGCAACCTGGTATAGAAGCTCCTAGTGATGAAGATGACTTCATTGAGGTTAGGTCTAAGAGGCAGATGCTGAATGATCGACGGGAACAAAGGGAAAAGGAAATTAAGGCTAAATCTAGGGCCCTAAAGGTAGTTTTGCCTTGATTTTTTTAGTGGTTTCATTTTCTTTTATTGTCTTTCATCATTCTGTCTAATGAAGGAAATATTTTTGGTTAGTCATGTCAGGCACCTCGAAAACTCTGCTCTGCTTCACAGCAAAGTATCATGGTCTCTACTAATTCAAATAGAACACCTACATCATTGGATGGAGAAGCAGCAAGAAATATTCATTCTGATTCTGTTGCCACTGATGGACGGGCCTTGGCAAATGTTGGAATGTCTACAGGATTTGCTACCACTATAATGTCACAATCCCTCCCTCCAATTGGCACACCAGCAATGAATTCTGATTCCCCAGCTGATATAAGATCCCACAATATCAAGTATGTCTTTTTAGGAGGAAGAAATTTACTTTAGTGATACAAAATATCCTTTCTAATATTGGATTCTTATGGTTTCTTGTACAGGTCCCTCCAAGCAGGGTCCATTCCTATCATATCTAGTGGTGGATCAAATCTTGGTCTGGGTTTGTCATTTGAAAACAAGAACACTGTTATGGATAACGTTCAAACATCACTTGGTTCTTGGGGCAATGCACTGATTAATCAGCAGGTAATGTGCTACATGCTGAAGTTCTCTTCTTGTTTGTAGCCATACCAGTTAGCAGGCATGCCAAATGCATTTACACGGTTTGCTTTGGAGTTTGATGTTTGCTTAAGATTACTTTTTTGAATATATGACTTGTATGTTTTGATTTTTGAAAAACCACTATTAATTGTTAAGTATCTTAATTTAACCGTTAAAATATGCTACTTTTTTATGATAGGTACATTTCATGCATTTGTATCTTGTTGCATTTATGTTTGTGTCAACTATTTTCTTGCTTGATGCACACAGAGTCTCTACTGGTATAGATCATTTTGAAATAGCCTTTGTTGAAGTACTATGTTTGTCAATTGCTGTCATTTTTAACACACAAGTACATTCTTTTCAAACACATGAAAAACTGAACCAGTGTGCATATATGCATTGAACCGACATTTGCACTCTTCCCAAATGGATCCCAAGTAAATTTTATTAAGAAGGAAAAACAAGGAAACCTGCCATTCAAGAGCAGTTGGAATGCAGGGAGCACTTGCATCTCACAGACTATTTGCAATGTAGCTACAAAATACAGCATAAATTATGAAAAAAAAAAAGCAGAACAACTTAGCCTTCTTGCTGCATGCTGCACCCCCCCCCCCCCAAGTCTTAACTCTGTCTTTGGACTAGATAAGGCATAACATGGTTATAGGTTAGTTGCTAGCTCCTAATTTCATAGATAGCCTCTTCTCTGAGCTGGTTTCCTTTCCCTCTGGCAGTACTTAGGCTTGCTTTAACTGATGTTCTATGGTAAATCCAGATTCAGCGAGTGAAAGGCCTGTCACAGGTCAGAGGGAGCAATTATGTTGGTTTTCTTTGCCCCGGTAGGTTCTTGAGGTTTTATTAGGGTGGAGGCTTGGCTCTCCTACAGTGGGGTACCATCTCTAGGTATCTATGGGGGAGGTGGAGATCCTCAATTATAATTGGTGGATGTGAGGGCCTTTAGACTAAATGGCATTGCATTGCAGCATAGTTGCAAGGCATCAGGGTGTGACAAGGAGGTACCTTGCTGCTACCATCTCTAGGTATCTATGGGGGAGGTGGAAATCCTCAATTATAATTGGTGGATGTGAGGGCCTTTAGACTAAATGGCATTGCATTGCAGCATAGTTGCAAGGCATCAGGGTGTGACAAGGAGGTACCTTGCTGCTACCATCTCTAGGTATCTATGGGGGAGGTGGAAATCCTCAATTATAATTGGTGGATGTGAAGGAAGGGATGTGAGGGCCTTTAGACTAAATGGCATTGCATTACAGCATAGTTGCAAGGCATCAGGGTGTGACAAGGAGGTACCTTGCTGCCTTGTGGACTAGGCAATAAATTTTGAAGAACTCAATGCTCATATCTGCTTACCATTTTCTGCTGAGGTTTGTATCTTCAAATCCTGTCACTTTTTGAGAAATGGTAAAGATTCATTAAGATCATTAAGAGAAAGCTGGTGATGGAGAGGTTTCCTCAACAGCCAAATACAAGAGCATAAAGCTCAAAAAAGAAGAAAATCACAAAACACTCGTTATCCCATAAGATACTTCCCCAATGAACTGAGAATTGCCATGAAATGCATACCCTAGAATAAACTACTCACAGAAACTCACTTGAATAGAGTTCTTTCAAGTTTGATAAAAAAATAGAGTTCTTCCAAATCTTGCACACAACTTTTCAGCAGGGTCAGAATGTTCTTCAAACAGCCACTCATTCCTCTCTTTCCATAAGCACCAGCAGATCACCAGTGGGGTAATGTTCCACAGCAACTTACTCCTTTTGCTAAAAATTCACCTGCCAAGAGGAAATTAGGGATTCAATGCTTGGAGGAGTCACCCAGCACACCTCAAACAGCTTCAAAACGTGGGCCCATAACCTTATGAGAATCCGCAGTGAATTAGGTGTTGGAAATTCTCCTCAGCCATACCACATAAACAGCAACAGTCAACAATGATCATGCCATTCCTTCTCAGCATATCAATAGTAGGGGGTCTGCATTTGATTGCAACCCACAAGAAGAAAATAGCCTTTGAAGGCATTGTTAAGACTCCAAATCCAAACCCAGGAAGGGGAATCACCTTGAGAGCTAGACAACAACTTCAATAATGAGGTAATAGTAAACACTACCGGGTTTATCAGCATGCCACCACAAAATATCTCTAGTCAAGGGCTGTGGTTTGACTTGGTCCAGGGTCTGAGGCAAGGTTGCCAGAGAATCCAAGTGTCAATTATTCACATTTCTTCTAAGACGAGGAGTCCAGACGGTTTGACCTGTATTCACCTCAAAACAATCACAGATCCGAGCATCCTTATCCTGGGCTAGAGCATAAATGATTGGGAAAGCAGTGCCAAATGGGTGATCACCATTACCACCAATCTTTCTGAAACCTGATCCAGGTTTGAAAGTAGAAAACTTGAAGATAGTATCCTTGTTATGCATGATCTCTTTCCACAAACTTGTTCCATAAGGTTCATTGACTATGCCTGATTCCCAACCCAAACCAGCTTCCTCCATACTTGGATTTAATCAAAGTTCCCCATTGCATTCAAATCCTGGGCTCCTGGCACTTGCCATTTTTTTGTTTTTTATTTTGTCGGAGCTTTGCTTTCATGTTGATTTAGGGTGTATTTACCTTTCTTGTTGTTACATCTCTCATTTTCTCTCTTTCATTTTTCTGCTTCTTTAGGGTGTCTAGGACCATATCTTTATGTTTGTGGCCATTATTGCGGCCAATGTTTAGGAGGTCCCATAGTTTTTAAGGCGCCAATGCGAGGCTAGGCGACAGGGGGCGCCTAGGCAACGCCTAGGCGACGAATTTTTTTTAAGTAAAACCATATTTCCTAAGGTAGTTCCCTAGGTTCCATAACCATCTTTCCTTGATAATTATCCATAATTTTCATAAGAGAAGTATAAATTTCATGTTTTAAGTTTAGAAAATCAACATTTTTTGAGAAGAAAAGGAACGAAGGAAAGAAAAATTCAAAAAATATGGGGCTGAACCCCTACTTTTGTTATAGGAAAAGTAGAAAAGAAAAGGTGGAAGAAGAAGAAGATCTGTAAGAAGAAAATGTGTTGATTAAGTTCTGAAATCTTTGAAGATTCAATCAAGGATCAAAACTTCGATATGATACGCCCCATATTGGGTGTATTGTATTGTATCTTTGGCGCCCCAATACACATGTTTATAGGTGTTTTCGGGAACCCATTTTTTAAAATAATATATATATATATATTATATTTAAAAATGAAATTGAAAACCAAAGAAATAAAAAAGGGGGAGTATCGTTATAGGTACTGATACACCTCTGCCGATACATAGAGGTGTATCGATACTTTGAACCATGGGTTCAATACAACAGTTAGCAATGTTTGTGTTGATTAAACCCTAACAAATAAGAAAATAATAAAAAGAAGTTAGTACATAAATACATAAAATGAGTATTCTAGTTTAATAATGCCTATTTTATAATATAATGTAAAAAAATATAAAATATAAAAGTATTTTATAACATAGTGCACAAAAGTACTTGGCGACTGGGCAAGGCAAGCCTCCAAGGACACCTTGTCGCCTAAGCGTCGCCTTGACAACTATGGGAGGTCCTAGTAGTAAATTTGTTCTAATTTCATCTATGCTTTACTTCCAAACTTTATTTCAGCTTAGGAATAAGAGGGTTGGGTGGAATTTATTTGCTTAGTTTTGTTTTGTGTGTGTTTAGAGTTCTGATGGCATATAAATGGTATATGGTTTTTAACATCATCAAGAAACATTTTGTTGTATATGGCTCTTTTTTCTTGAAGAGTAAAAAGAAAATTTCATTAAAAAGAAACTTAATACAATCAATCATCAGGGGGCGATGACAATGTTTTTAAAGCACAAGGCGCAAAAAAGGCATAGGGGCCAATTTGCGCCTGAGGTACAAGGCAAAGCGCACACCTTTTTGAAGCAAGGCGCAAAAATACAAAAAAAATTCCCAAAAAAATGTCAGAAAATTAAAAAAAAATCCAAATAATATTAATAAAAATAAACTTAAATTTTAAAATAAATGTTTTAAAAAACCTATTATCTAAAATTAAAATACATAAACATAACATGTAAAGTGTATTCAAATGAAAATTTAAAAATAAAATCAAACATATAAAACATTTTCAAGCATGTAAAACAATCTCTTTTTTTCCTCAATTGCATTACTTCAAGTAGCTAATGTGATGTAAAACATATTACATTCCTGATTCTACGAGTCGCCTTTGTGCCACGCCCCTTGTGGCAAGCCCAAACAAGTCCATGTTAGGGTCTTAAATTCTTAGTTCCCGCACAAAAAATAATGATTTTATAATTTTAATTGCTTTTTAAGAAGATATTTTATTAGGATGAATGAATGAACAACATTAGCAAAAGTCTATAATTGCAGAGATGGCCAAAAGTAATCAGATTGTTGTCATCTTTGCTACCGGTGCAAAAGTCTCTTCATAATATATCCCATACTCCTACTTATAGTCTTAAGCTACAAGGCGGGCCTTATATCGGTTGGACTTGTTTGGGCTTGCCTCGAGGGGCGTGGTACGGGGTCCCGGGGGCAGAGCCTTGCTCAGCCACTAGGTTCAAATAAAGCAACATGGTACACCAGGCATGCGCCTAAGACCTAGGCGAGGCACATACCATAAAATGCGCCTCACCTGTGTGCCTAGGCATGCCTTTTAATCTCTGGGTGATGAGGCAACGCTCGGAACAACAAAATCCAAAACAACAAAGGAGCATAGAGATGGAATGAACTATAAAAAAAAGAGATGGAATACTACATAGATATCAACGGAAAACAAAACCTCTCAACAAAACACACTGAATCTCTAGCACCACTCCCTTTTCTCCTAGTTGACTGGAAGAAACCTCCTTGGCCTTCTTTTCTTTAGCAATTTCACCCCCCCTTTCCTCTTCTCTAACCCAGCAGTTGGCTTTAGAATTTCCTCGGACACCTCCATTGATTGAGTCACCACCCTTGCTAAACCTTGGGACTTGGTATATATCTTCTCCCTCTCCTTTTTTGAGCCTTTGAATTTCAAAACCTTTTTCTTATAAACTCTCTTGTATTTGTTTGTTGGTCCAGCCCCAAACAGTCCTTTCAGTCTAGGAAAAAATTTTGTAACATGCTCAATATGAGAAATATTTGCAACCTGGACCTTCTTCAATGCCTCCTCCCCCACATAACTACCAGGATTTACAAACTTCATTTTTCTGCCCAAATCAGTTCCTAGTCTTCCCACAACCACTTAAAAATTTGAGAGTCCCACGCTGCTTCCTTGCGGGCCGCACTCTCCATCTCTGTTATCACCCTTAAGACCAGAACTATCTCCCGAGCTTCTCTCTTCAACCCTTTCACAGAGTACCTTAACATCCTCTCTTTCTTTAACACTCCCTTCCTCCTTCACCCTTTCCACCACTATTTCTCCCATACATGCGACCTCTTTCTCTTTCCCCTCTTCTAGCCTTATAACAGCTTGGGAAGAAGGACCACTCCTCCCTCCTTGAGAAGAGTCCTCTTGTATCACAACCCAAAAAGAGCCAAAGCTTAAGACACAACCTACCTGTCAATTGAGCTCCACCCTGGTCGTCTCATCTTTCCCATCGCAGAACGCATTTGAAAAACTTGCACCAGCCTGCACCTCATGAGTAGTAGACCTATCCTCTTCCAACCTGTCTCGGGCATGCACCGTCCTTAAGAACACTTCTTTCTTTCCAGCACTGTGATACCTAGCAGCTTTCCAGACCCATTCCTCGTTCTTCCTTATTCAAGCTTTAGGTGGGTCTCTCCTCCTTGTAAAACTTGAAGACTTAAACTTAAAGCCCTTTCTTTTGAAGATGTTTAATCTGTTGGTTTTAGATGGTCCCCACTCCTAATATTTCCTTGCTTCGACAAATAGTGGGTGGTCCCCACTCCCTAAACTGCAAACCTTTAAAACCTTAGCTGCCCCATCTAAAACGTCCCCACTCTCTGAACCAACTTCATTAAAGACCTTGAATGGCTCTTCGAATGCCTCCTCAGGCCACCCAGACATTGACCCACCTTTTCATTTCTCTCTCATCTCCTTCCATGTGTCCCTCTATTGCCTTCTCCCCCCCCCCTTTGTGGAATTACTTCCATACCCATTTGTTCTTCCTCCCCATCGTCTTCAACCTCCTAGAGACCTTTTGTCTTCCCCTGCTTCTCAGATATTTGCCCTTCCAATTCCTTCTCAACCTCCTCTTCTTCTTCCCAGCTCTCTTCTCTCCAACCGTACCTTATCTTAGCCCTGAAAAAAGCATGTTCCTCTCCTTCTGCATAAACTCTCGGATCATAATCTTCACCTGCAAATCTGAGCACCATCGAAGTTGGGATAGCAGAGGTATCTTCTATCTCCACCGGCAACCTTGCAATGTCTAATTTCTCCCACTTCCTATTTCTGTCATAAAATCCTAAAAACTTACCGCAGTGGTCTCCAATTGATTTAAAAGTAGACGTGCACCATGTATGAAGGGGGAATTCCCAGGACTCCAATCCACATCACTCTCCTCCGCCATTGGAAACCACCAACTTAATCTAAATCAAACTCCCTATTTTTCCTCTCTTCTGCTTCCAAAGCCCACTCTGCATCTCCTCTGCTATGGAACATAAATAAGAACAAACCTCCATTCAGTTTTCTGATACACCGAATTCTGTTCTTCCCCCATTTGGATCTTGCCCAAGCTTCCGCTTTTTCTTCTTTCAAATCCAGGCTGATGAACCTTCTGACCAAACTTGCATTAAGGACCTGCAGCCTCTCCGCCATCTTCCTCACCTGACTGGCCTCAATCAGCACCACCTTCAGCCTCTAATAAAGTCAATCTGCACCACCTTCGCGTTAAGGCATCAATGCTTTCAGCATGCGCCCCAGGGCATTTTTCCCATCCCATGCACCCCCTTTGTTTTGCCCATCCCATTCTAATTCTATGAGCAACATCCTCAATCTCTCCTGTGTTATGAATTGTCAATTCAAGGTACTGGAGAAGGCCACAGTGCATTGTCCCATGATCTCAAATACCACCTTTGTATATGACTCTTAAATTGCATCCATTACCACCTGTGTCTGATATCTCGTGCTGTTGATACCTGCAGTCTACTTGCTCAGTTAATCTTGTATTTGTAATCTTGGCTACGTGACATTGTGGAATTTTGCCACAAAGTATAAAGCTATCTTGTGTTGCCATACTGAATTTATTGGTCTATTTTTCTGAATCAACAATCAAGTTCAGAATGTTCAGTTACAAATAAATTATAATTTCATTACTGATGTTACATTGCCTCTATCAATTAGTTAGTCCTTCTGGTTCATTTGTATCTGGTTTACTTTTTGCTGCAAATTTCTATTGAATATTGAACTCATAATTTTCTTTGTTCAGGTTATGGCCCTAACCCAGACACAACTTGATGAAGCTATGAAGCCCACACGATTTGATACACATGTTGCATCTATTGGAGATCATACCAACACTGTTATTGAGCCCAGCAAGTCATCACCATCTCTCTTGACGCAGGATAAATCATTTTCTTCTTCAGCAAGTCCTCTCAACTCCCTTCTTGCGGGGGAAAAGATTCAATTTGGTAAGTGCATATTTCAGATGGATTCTGCATCCTTGCGTTGGAAATACTATTGCTTCCTTGCTTAACAATTTTAAGTGCTTGGCGTTTTAGGTGCTGTTACATCTCCCACCATTCTCCCCCCTCCTGGTGGCTGTACTGTTTTAAGTGGGTTTGGGCCTACTGGTTCATGTAGATCAGATGTTCCAATTGACCACAATTTGTCTGCAGCAGAAAGTGACTGCGGTCTTTTTTTCAAGAAAGAAAAGCACTCTAATGAGTCTTGTGTTCATTTAGAAGACCCTGAATCTGAAGCTGAAGCTGCTGCTTCAGCAATTGCTGTTGCTGCTATTAGTAGTGATGAGATTGTTGGGAATGGGTTGGGAGCATGCTCTGTTTCAGTTTCAGATACTAAGAGTTTTGGAAGTGCAGAAATTGGAGGTGAAATAATTATTTCAAATATTTCTACCCTTCTGGACTTTTTTTTTTTGGAAAATATTTTTTTTTTCTGATAAGGCATAATTTTTTCTTTAGCAGGTGTTGCAGGTTATCAACAATTATCAAATCAATCTAGGGGTGAAGAATCTCTGGCTGTATCTCTTCCAGCTGATCTCTCTGTTGAGACCCCATCCCTATCTTTGTGGCCACCTCTGCCTAGCCCACAGAATTCGTCCAGTCAAATGCTTTCACATTTTCCTGCTGCCTCACCTTCTCATTTTCCTTGCTATGAGATGAACCCCATGTTAGGGCCCCCCATTTTTGCCTTTGGACCACATGATGAATCTGTCGGTTCTCAGTCGCAAGCACAGAAGAGTAGCACACCATCTTCAGGCCCACTGGGTGCTTGGCAACAATGCCATTCTGGTGTAGATTCTTTCTATGGTCCACCAGCAGGATTTACTGGTCCTTTTATCAGTCCACCTGGAGGAATCCCAGGTGTTCAAGGTCCTCCTCATATGGTTGTCTACAATCATTTTGCACCCGTCAATCAGTTTGGCCAAGTTGGCTTGAGTTTCATGGGTACAACTTATATTCCCTCTGGAAAGCAACCAGACTGGAAGCACAATCCTGCATCTTCTACAATGGGCGTTAGTGAAGGGGACATAAATAATCTGAATGTGGTTTCTGCACAGCGCAATTCCCCTAGTATGCCTACTATCCAGCATCTAGCTCCTGGGTCGCCACTTCTGCCCATGGCTTCTCCATTGGCCATGTTTGATATGTCTCCTTTTCAGGTAAGTTCTCTAGAAAATTAGGAAACCTTGCTCTAACCAGTGTTTTAAACCCAGCCCGGAGGTTGAGCTGCTTCTCTCTAGCTCGGTAAGTCAGTGTTTCAACTGTTTGGGTCAATGGGTTGACCCATTTAGAAACTTTAAAAATTCAAAAAAACCAGTAATCTGATGAATGAGTCAGTGGATCAATAATGGTTCAGCCGTCTAGATTGTGATGGGTTGTTGACTAAGTCACTATTTTTTTCAATGGGTTAGAGGCTGACCCACACTGGGATTGTGATTGGATTGTTGGGTCATTGGTTTGGTTAGCCGGTCAACAAATGATGAAAATTTCTGTTTGATTAGTTTGGAGATATGGCAGTGCCTTTCATGTAGCTGTCTCTAACATGGCAATCTAGTCTTTTTTTCATGTTTGTGATGCATATATTTATTATCCAACCAGTTTTATGCCATTTTTTCTGATTTGCCTGTTTAACATTTATTATCAGTTCATTAGCACACTGATTGTAAAAATGGATATGTTTGTTCCAGTCATCTTCAGACATGTCGGTCCAGGCTCGGTGGTCTCATGTTCCTCCATCACCTCTTCATTCTGTCTCATTGCCAATGCCATTACAGCAGCAGACAGAGGCTGCATTACCTGCACAGTTTAACCATGGATTGGCTGTGGAACAGTCATCAAGTGGCAACAGGTTCCATGAGCCTCGATCTTCAGCACCTCCTGATAGCAGCAGGAGTTTCCCTGTGGCAAATGATGCCACTGCCTCTCAGTTACCTGATGAACTAGGGCTGGTAGAACAATCAAACTCCAGCACTACCAGGGTTTCAAGTGGAAGGCCAGCATCTTTCAACTCCCCAAATGGGAATGTGAAAGCCCAAACTGTGGTAACAAAGAGTACGTCTAGAAATGCTGTTGCAAATGCTAGTGATAGTGTTAGTGTTAACAGCAGCAGTAGCAATAACAGCCAGAGCATGAATTCTGTATTCAAGACTCAGAGCTCACAACAGACTTCATCAACCCAACAGTACATTCATCCCACTGGGTACTCAGATCAGAGAGGCGGGGGAGTTTCTCAGAAGGATAGTTCAGGAAGTGAATGGTCCCACCGAAGGATAGGGTTCCAGGGAAGAAATCAATCATCAGGTACGGATAAAAGTTTTGCTTCTTCGAAAATGAAGCAAATTTATGTGGCTAAATCATCGATAAGTGGGTCATCAGCAGCAGTGTGAGGTTTTAGATTTTGGTTTTCTTAGTTTACGGGTGGATTGATGCAGTTCCTCTGGGTAGCTGTCGGAGTTGACTGCAGTGCAGGTGAAGTGTGGCGAGAGTTGTTTTTTTGCCATATTTATGGTTAACTTTATTTTGTTAGTGATTTCATTTCGAGTGTTTATGGAGATTGGGAGCGGGAGATAATTGGAAAGCCAAGTTGACGGGCCCCAATGTGATATTTATGGTAAAAAAGTGTGGTGTGGTTTCTAATGTAGCAATTTGTGCAAGAAAGAGTATGGCGTGATTCATCTCTTCAAAATTTTGTTTTCCTTCTTGCTTGGCTCCAAACTTAAGGCTATTCCTTTAGTCGATGTATTTTCAAAGAAAAAGTGAAATCCAGTTGGTGTTCGATATCAATTATTAATGATGAATATAGATATTGGTTCTCTTTCTCTCTCTCCAACTTGGTCCTGTATTTGTTTTTTAGTTAAAAGAATATTGATTACAATTGTGGAGAGGTGCATGTTCAAAGTTCAAACAACCACAAACACAACCACCCACCCCTTTGTACCTTTTGCTGCTTTGTACAAATTTTGACTTGGGTCAGTTTAACATTCTTCCTACCCAAGGATTAAAGTTTTGATATCGAATCAAGCCACAAACACAACCACCCCTTTGTACCTTTTGCTACTTTGAAAATGCATAGATATGTATGGAAAATATGGAAATCTTTGTATATATGTTGGGAAATGCATATAAATTTTATAAATGTATCAAAAAATTATATTTAAGGTCAAAATAACCACAATTAATATATAAATGCATAGAAAATGTATATTCTAATTGTATTTGTAAAGAAATGGATTATAATTAATATAGCGAAATACATAGAATTTATACAATTTTATTGATAATGTATTAATCAGGAGTCCCAGAACATAATTATATATGCTTACAAATTAATACATGTACAAAACTATTATTTTGTTAATTTCTATTGAAGTTCAAGGCACAAAACATGAATTCACATGTGCCCTATAGCATATCCCAACCATGTATTTAGAATATCTCCCATTGGTGGTAACTTTGGGTTCAGGAGTTGTTCCCAATGCACATTGAGATGTGCATGTGGGGCGTTTAAGGGGCACAAATGTGACTTCACAAAATATATGCAACTACTATAGGTGAATTATTATATTAATTATTTTCTATTTTATTATTTTAATTTTTAATATTAATAAAAAATAAGCTAAAAATTAATTCTCAAATGTTCGGTAAACAATAATTTTTATTTTTGTAAATAATAAAATTGTTATTATAAAATGTAACTAATAACAATTAGTAATTTATAAAAATATATTATATTAAAATCTCTAAGACACATATCATATGCAAATTCATAATTTTTAATTACTAAAATAATTATTTCATTATTAATATTTTCATTTCTATAAATTTTATGAAATAAAAAAAAATCAATTTTTGATATAAAAGTAGATTAGTGGATTTTGCAAATTCAATTAATATTATATTCTTGAGTATTTTGCAAACACTTTTCTTTTTTGTAAACAATAAATATATTTTTATTTAATGTAAATTAAAATATTAATTGATAACTTATAAAAATTTTAAGATACATAACATGTTCAAATTTGTAAATTTTAAGTAGTAAAATAATTATTCTATTATTAATATTTTTATTTGTATAAATTTCTTGAGATTAAAAACCACTTTTTGATGTAAATGTGGATTTGAGAATTTATTTATTCCATTAATTTGTAAAATATTAATTTTGAATCTTTAGTTGAAATTGTTGAACATAAATATGTTATTTGTTAGGATTACATGTGGATATTAGAATTGATAAAAATTATTTTATTTCACTTCTTAGCATAAGATAAAGGTCAGCTTAATCGTTCATGGGTGTGTTCAAGGCTTAGGCGTTAGGTGATTTGTATTCAAATCACGCCAGGTACATTATCACTTGTTATCGGCCAAAACACTACCATAGGAGCTGATACGGATGTGCTTGGTTACAATTTGGATCTTTTCTGTTCAGACTTCAGAGTTACCACTTTCAATCTTTGCAATATTTTCTGTTCTCTTGCCTAAATCTGTTCTAGTGATTTTTGAGGATGCATTTCCCCCATCTTGTGTAGCTCCTCCTGAATTTATGAAAAAAATAATGAAAACATCATTCTACGTTCTACCTCCTCTTTTATTGAAGTCTTTTAAGTGATACACCCTATTCTTTGTAATTTTCTTACGACTTGTTGAAGTTCTGCAGTTTCTAAGACATTCCCTCGCATGTTAAATGTATGGTTTAGAATTTTAGATCTTTCACCTTACAAATCCAGCAAGCTCCACCCAATAACTTGTGAATTGGGATCTCTCCTCCATATGTTAGATGTTTTTTTTTTTTATTTTTTTTAGGAGAATGACCAATCAGCACAGATCAGAATTTTATAGCCCCAAAGTACAGGGGGAATGCATCCTGACCGTGAATTGGTGCCAAATTCACGGGCAGGATGTGGTTTATAGGAGGGGGAGAGGGCTAGTAGTAGGGGGGCGGGCTGGAATTCAGAATTCTGATCCTGTGTATCCGTACTTGTCCGTTTTTTTATCACTAAATAAACCATATCATTATAAGAAATTATCAGCTACATATTGTTCCAAAAAGCTAGGAGGGTTATCCTCCCAAAAAAGATCAAGTTCAGAGTACTTAGCCTCCCTAGCTATGGCATATTTAAAGATCTATTTACATATTTAACTTTAGAAAAATTAAAAGTTTTAAAAGAGATATAATTTTGTCCAACAGAAAGAAGCATTGCCACGGAAGGTCCAAATTTCTTGTTATAACCACGGAAAATCCAAATTTCCTCCCTATGTTAGATAGAGCTAGAAGGCTATGATCCCAACAATATTATTTTGTATAAAATCTAAGAGCAGAAATGATCACCTTCGATGCTATGGATACGATCTGAGTCAAGTTCATAGGTTAGGTGCTCTAATTCACAGGCTAGGGGGCATTTCACATTTGAGCACCACGCTGATCATTTAGCTTTTCCAAGCTCATCTAATATTGGTTCCAAGAGGTGTTCCACATTGAGAGTTTCAATGCAGGGTGAAGATGGAAAATGGGCCAATCTAATGTCAAAACTAAGCCATCTGCTGGGAAACTGTGGACATCGGTATACAGGTTCAACACAAACACGGGTATATGATATATCCAACACAACAATCTCAAATACAATTAAGGGGATCCAAAATGCAGCATTTGGATTGTCATGAATACATACAAAACAACCAGGAATTTTAACATGCAAACAAGGGTAGTTTAGCATGTCATCGCCTGCTGGAAATGCTGAAGGAGCTGACTTTCATTGGGGTTGCAACCACTAATGGAGCCTCAGGAGAGTTGGTGACCGCAAACTTGTCATGCATGAAGCGGCTATCAACAATGGATTCATCTTTTAGGACAATCTTGTAACAGTAGCAGCTTTTCAGACCTTCCTGATTCCGATAGCACTCGTGGGCACTGTCCTTCACTTGCTGGAAGTTCCATATCACGCTGAACTTCCCAACTGTTGCAACCAGGTGGCGTTCCTGCTTCCCATTTTCAGTGACCTGAAAGACAAACATATTAATTGAAGTTCAAATTTCATTGAAGAAAAGATGGTATACAAACAGGAACTAATTAAGACAATCATGACTACTTTAAAAAGTACTAAAATATCTATTCTCCATATGTGAAAGCAAAATATTAAATTAATGCCCTAATTCCCATCTTAAGAATAAGAACATTAATTAGGAAACTAGACACTGGTTACAAAAAAAAAAATACTGTTCCTCTTTTTCCTGATATTTAATTTGGGTGCAGTTAAAAAGCAACATATAATGCAAGAAGACTTCGACAATCACTCTTTGAGTAATAACTGCATCCTGGACGATTTAATCAGGAATCATTTATATTCTCTTGTTTTGAAGAGTTTAGACTTTAGCATGGAATCCCACGGGTCCATCAATTTTGGAATTCCTGCAACATTCCTGAAAGGCCCAGCCATAATATGTCCAAAATCAAAGAGCTCTTCCAAGATGATCATGGAAAAATCCAAATTTTGTAGCGTCAAGGTAAGACAATAACATAGACCTACCTAACAGAAATACCAAAACATAATAAGAAAATAAATTGAACAGAGAAGAAAATCCATAGTCAAAATTTAATGGATTTCAATAAAAAGAAACAGGAAAGGCAAGTCATAAAAGCTTGAATAGACCCGGCACATTCCCATCAATCTTTGGTTTCCACTCCAGTTTATTCAGTCATTGACTTATTATTAGCATGCCCAAAGATATCATCATAAAGTGAACTCACAGAGTTCTAAATCTTGATAAAATTTTCAATTGTCAATTTTGAAATCACTAAACAATTCTAAAGGTTTTCAAACAAATAGAAAGATGTTAATAATGAAGAGATGCTCAAATACCTGATCATCATTAAAATACCACAGGTTTATGCGATTTTCCTGTATATTCTTAGACATTTTCTACCCTATAGTTCCTTGTTAGGCCATATGTTATGGATGCATTCCTCGGAAAGACGTACCATCGCCGCTGGCAGCAACAGGAACCTGACCCACCACCAGATTAGATTAGATCATCTTGCTTGTTCTTATCTTATCCTATTGCTCTTATCTTATCTTGTTAGTAAGTTATCAGATTAGGATTAGTTTATCTTATTATCAGATTAGGATTAGTTTATCTTGTTATCAGATTAGGATTAGTTTATCTTGTTATCAGATTAGGATTAGTTTATCTTATTATCAGATTAGGATTAGTTTATCTTGTTATCAGATTAGGATTAGTTTATCTTATTATCAGATTACGTCTTTCCGAGGAATGCGTCCATAACACCATACTGGAACATTTATGTCATTTATTATTGGCAGCTTAGGTGACCATGAACAAGCTATGAAAAATATGAAATGGAAAAGACTAAAACAACAGGAAAAGCAGACACTGTACATGATGGCATCAACTTACCCACAAGGATGCAAGTGCACAAGATCAAATAAGTTTCAAAAAATCGTTGCAAATAGCAAGTGCTGAATGGAAAAGAAGTCCAATCTAGATATGTGTGCAACAGCAAATATCTACACTAATCCCTAACCCATCTACTGCATCCACCAATGCTATTCTTGAATTGCGCATATGGTTAAAGGTGTGAGATAACGATGTTGGACTGTGGGTCAATTAAAGTACTAAAAAAGGGCAGCCCAGTGCATGGGGCACCTGCCAATGTAGGGGTCTGGGGAAGAACAGATGAACACAGCCTTATCCCTGCAGACACACAGAGAGGCTGTTTCCAAGATAGAAAAGTTGCAAACATTCAACATAAAGTTGCATCCTATAAGGGGGCTGTAGATGTCTCAAATTGGCTTGTCATAGGCAAGACACAAAAGTAAATAAGTTTCAAAAAGTCGTTGCAAATAACAAATGTTGGATGAAAAAAAATAGTCCAATCAAGATATGCTGTAGAACAGCAAACATCTACAGCAGTTTACTTTGGAAATTTACCCGTCTACTGCATCAATCCACCTAAAAAAATGCATGTTGCTCAACTAAACAACTTTTTAATGTAAAACATCTTAATGATGTTACATCCAACATAGAAAACAATCCCATGGTCATGTTTATAGTTGAACAATAGTCCTATCTGGGTGACATCATATCCATCTTCAAAGAATCAGGTAGTCCAATCAAATAATTCAAAATATATTGCAGAGGCAGAAAGCTTCCAACTTGCTGTCATTTTTATGGACTGAATAATTCTTCGTAACAAACCAATGCACCATAGCTTCAAAAGCTATGCATGACAAATAGATAATTCTAAGAAGTGCACTGAATTCACATTCTTCATACAACTTCAGGTTTTCCAGATTCAAACTGAAAGGGCCAAAGGGGTATGTCTACTTGTTCTGATTAAACGAAATAATCAAATAATACATATAAAAAAAGGCAGTATCAAGTAAAACTGTGGAATATGGAAGTCAGGATAACTTCACAAATTAAAGGCAAATAAGTGAACAGAATAAACAGGACCATGGATAAGGTGGTATAAAAAACCCAGAACATTACTCCAAGAAAATATGAAGAACAGCAGTATATCTAAAAGTAAGGGACTGCTAAATAAAATATACTGAACAGTACAAGCAAGCACAATATCTAAAAACGAACATATATACTTACCCATGAGAACTGCCCACCATGGAACCTGTTGTTGGACCCAGCCAAATGGGAATCCAAAGGAGTCAACTTCAACAACCTTGGAGCCGAGATCCTATTCCCCATACGACCACTAAAACCGGTCTTTGTCTTTCCATCTTTGTCGGTGAACAAGGTACAGATAAGGATCAGATAGGTATCCGTCGTGCCCAATATCCACTTCCCATCAAAAGTTACATCCACATGGGTAATAGGGGAACCAAGCCCCGGAAAAGCGGTCTTTGCTTGCCTCATAGAATTCTGTGAATACAGACGGATCTTCCCATCAAGAGACCCAACAACAATTGAGCCATCACCTGTGGTCGCAAAGCACTGAAAATTTGTCCCTCTAGAAAACTGATGCCCTTGAGTCCAATTAAGGACAGGAGTGCTGGAAGTTGCAAGGTTCTGAACCATCCCTTTCCGGTCACGCATATCCCACCGACAAAGTCTGTGATCATCCAACCCCAAGAACGTGGACTCTGAAGGATCCAATTGAGCCCCCTTACTTTCATTAGTGATGTCTCTCATGGTAATATCAGTACCATCCTTCTCAAACTTCCATTCTGTAACAATTTTACCGGTTTCAACATCAAGCTGATGAAGTCCTGTTGCATGAGGTTTGCCCTCCTGCATAGGGCTCATAAGGAGCATATTGCTCTCGGCTCTCATGAGAAGGGCTTTCTTGGGTGTTGAAAGCCCTAACCTGGAACTACCTCTGGAACTCCCGTTGTTGAACTTCACGCAAACACCTTTTCCATGAATTCCATGACTGAAATTTTTGACAACCTGAATACCAGAATCACTCACCAAGAAACTGTTGTCTAACGCACCCAAGGCCAAGCTCTGAATTCCTCCTCCATTTGCTGCCTCCTCAAACTCTTCCAACAGATCCTGACTCGACCTTACAGGAGTCACTGAGCTGGGGCTTTTCACAAAACTATCTTCAGCATCTTCCCACATCGAATCATCGGCAACTTCTGGTTTCACCCATCCGATAAAATCCTTTCCATAAATTTTGACCTTGTTCTCATCGTTCGCTTCGAGACCATAAATGTTCTCAAACAGGCAATCCTGAAACCTAGATATAAAATTCCTATAATCCTCGTCGGTGAAGAACTTCATTGCCCAGACGCCTTGGCAGACGAAATCAACGCGACGCTGGTCGCCGAACATCTTCAATTGCATCTCCGTTGCAACCTTCGCTCTAATTTTAGAGCTAACTTTCAAGACCCACCAAGACTCTCCATCGTGGTCGGATTCTCTGTCGTCGTCGCTGTCACCGTCAATTCTGGAGGACTTGACAAAGGAGTAAGTGGTGAGTTTCTCAGAGGTGATCCATTTGGATTTAGGGGTGTTACCTGCAACGTGAAGGTAGAGCTTCACGGCGTTCCTCAGCTTAGGATTATGGGATGGATACTTCAGTTTTAGGGCTTTGAGCTTTGCGTCTACCTCGTCCAGAGAAGACAGCTTTTCTTTAGCTTTGCTTCCCAAAGATCTCTGTTGATTTTCTTCTTCGACATCCTGGTATTCTTCTTCATTTTCTTCTTCTTCTTCGTCAGAGTCTGAGACCATCAAATCCTCGCGACTATGAGAACCGCCCATTGATCTTCCGTTTCTGGATTTTAATTAGAAAGGCAGAGACAGAGATATTCGAAGAGGAAGAGTGGGAGGGAAACGATAGACTTGGAATCTGACGAGAGCCAATTTCAAATTTTGAACCTCGGGAGAGATACAGTTGGAGTATTTAGGGTTTTCATTAAAGAACATGAACCCAAGCTACTGGCTATAGACGGTTAGCAACTTTTAGCGTGGATCTAACGTCCAGTTTTTTCTTCGCAAGGAAGAAATTGGCAGCGTAACTCGGTCAGTCACGGCCGTCACTCACTCCTTCGTTGGATTGAAGGCCGTTAATAACTGTTTTAAATAACGGTTATCATGTTATCCACGCCACGCGAGCATAGCAACGCCAATAATCAATTGTTTTGATACATGCCAAATTTCTTAAACTATCCATAAGTTTTAATGAAATTTACTGACCGCTACTGTTTGAGTATTGTCTTAAATATCCTTATGCTCCTATTTCTGATAATTGATTAGCTCTACCGTTTTCGTTATCATCCGTTAGTATTTTGCCAAATTCCATACACACGTGACGTTTAATTTTTTTTTTAAGCCCAATTTTACCTTTTATTCTCTTTTTCTCACTCTCCTTCTCTCCCTTCTTTCATCACCACCACTGCAACGATTTGCAACAGCGGTCCCCTCCACCTCCGGCCACTCTCTCTCTCCCTTTCTTCCCCTTCGTTCTCTCTCCCCTCCTCTATTTCACATTGCACCAGAACCAGAATTAATGAGGAAGATGGAGACCCATCATTGAACGAACCCACCTGAGTATCGTATAAATTTTTTTTGAACCGGGTAGCATTGTGAGGAGGAGGATTGGTGAGGGTGGTTGTTGGTGTTGCGAGGGTGCCCGAGTAGCGTAAGGGGATTCATCTGCAACTCCTGGCGATACACTCCCAGATCTGTTTCGATCGGAGGGAAGGGGATTCATTTGCATCTCCCAAATTTGGGTGATATATTCCCAGATCTGCTTCGAGCGAAGGGAAGGGGATTCATGTACAACTCCCAGATCTGCTTTAAGCGGAGGGAAGGGAATTCATCTGCAACTCCCAGATCTACTTCAAGCGGAGGGAAGAGGACAGAGAGAAGGGGATTCATCTATGGGAAGGTGATTTCCAAACCTGAAGAGTAGAGAGATGATGAAGTCCATGAAAGGGGAGGTGGCAACCAAGTACTTTCTGGAACCCGTTCTAGAACCCGTTTCCGCCTCAGATCCTTGCTTGTAGGCATGCCGAGACATCTTCACGGCATGTATAGTTGTATACCAGAAGGCCCAAAGTCAATCTCCTTTCGGTATTTCGGGAGCGGGCATCCTCCTCTAGTAGGTTCCATGCTTATCTAGCACTGGATTTGATAACTAGTCTTTAATATCATCCTCTTCCTCTGACCTATGCTAGATGTTGGAAGTTCGTTTGCCGACAACCTCTGTATTCCTAGTTCAGAGAGCTAGAAGGCATCGACTTGGTGTAGACGGCATCGACTAGACCACAATGAAGAAGTCATAATTTATCAAAGAATTGTCAAGGTACTTGTTGACATTTTCTGGAATGGGTTCTAGTTTGTGGTCTAACCAGGGGTGATGAGTACGGTTTCGGTGGTGCAGACGGCATCGACTTCGACGACCATGAATTCATAAGAGATGGAGACCTTGGTGCCGCCGGTGCTTCATATTAGTAGTATGGGTTTTATTTTGAAATTTGAGAAACAACGGAAGGTAAATTTGACATTTTATTTTTTTCTGTTATCGTTTGACTTATTGTAACAATTGTCAAAAACAGGGTAATTAAGACAACATTGTAACAGTAGGGGTATAGTTGGTTAATTTCCTAAATCTTAGGGGTAGTTTAAGAAATTTGTCCTTCAAATTGAGTTGTGTCGCTTATGGCTTGGCCTGGCCTGACATGACAGTATCCAAGTCGTGCCAAGCTCGACACAATGGTCCGGGCTGTGTTGGGCCTGGGGTTTCAGGTCCATGGGTCGGTATGACCTAGCCCGTGCATAGTTCGTAGGCCCGTAGCGGGCTATGCTCAGTCCACCCAATATCCCCAACAACTAGTTTTAGCTTTTTGGGGGTCTTTTAAGAACTACCCCCCAACAGCTATAAACAACTATATAGGGGTATTTATGTATTTTGGTTAGGGGGGAGAAAGAATGACACAAATGCCCCCCAATAGCTAGTTTGGGGGGCATGTTAGGTAAAGTGATAAACAACTTTATAATGACCAAAATATCCCTCCCAACAACTAAAAAACGGTTAGTTTTAGAGTATTTTGGGCAATTGAATTATTTTCAATTCCTATTAATAGGTCTATCCTCCACCATTCTCACCACACCAATTCAACAATTCCTATAAATAGCCCTATCCTCCACTATCTTCAATTCCTATAATGATCAAATGTCAAGAACAATAAGAGAAAATGATGAAGTCAATATTTTTTGTATACTCAATAGCTGTATAGCATATTTTCAAATTATTGTCAACTTTTTAAATTTTATTTAATTTATTTGATATTTTTTAATAACACAATTTTTTGTTTTCAATTTGTAAGTATATTGTATTTTTTATATTTTATTAATTTTTTTCATTTTCTAATTTTTCATATTTCATTCATCCAACCACTGTATGCTTTGTATCATTCAAATTTAAATGAAATAAAATTCCTTTTTTTCTTCCATTTTGTTATTCACTTGTCTTTGTTTCTTTGACTTCTTATTTTGTTAAGTATTTTTTTTTTCGTTTCTTTGTCAGATTTCTTATTTTTTTTTCAAATAGTTCCCAAAGAAAAGGAAAGTTAAATATTTTAGTTTTATTTAGCAAAGAAATAAAAAATAAAAATGTAAAAAAAAAGTTAGTCTGGCCTAGTCCGACCCACATCCAAGACTCGGCCTGTGACCCAACCCGGCATGGCCTACAGCCCATCTAGTCTAGACCCGCAACATGGCACGGGTATATATGGGCTTGGGCCATGGGCCATGGGCCATGCCAGGCCGACCCCCAAATTATCCCTAGGAAGGGCAACATGGCCCAGGACGACCCACACTTTGAATAGTTTGTAGGCGGGCCATATTGTACCAGCATGGCATAACCCATTTTACACCTCTACCTTTTATACACGGTGGGACCATGAAATGCCACAACACATGAGAAGTGGTCATGGTCATCACAAAAATTTTCCGGTATCATAGACCACGTTACTTGCTATGAAAGGAAAATATTGGCCCTACCACGTTGGACGTTGGGGCCTTAGAGGACATGCGTCCTCCTACAGTTAGAAGATTAGGGTTTAGTGTTCAATGGTTTAGAGTTACATTTTAAGGTTTTAGGGTTAGGGACTTAGGGTGTACAGATTTTAGGGTTTAATGGTTTAGAATTTAAATTTAACAAGTAGGGTATGTGGTAGCCAAGTAGTATAGTTAAAAGATGGCAATACCTGGACCAACCTATAGGGGCCTTAAACGTGGAGAGAGCTTCATCGTTGTCTTATAATCTCTCTCTATATATGGAATGGATGCATTCTTCATTCAGAAAATGGAATCTAGTCTCACGTAAGAACAACCCAATCGTACGAATAGGTCACATGTGAACATGCACTATTAGCTTCAAGATCCCCGCTCTCTTCCCGCTGCCCCCTCTCTCTCTCTCTCCACTTCCTTTTCCCACTCTACCTCTCTTCCTGTTCCATCACTTCCCTCACTCTCCTCCTTCTCTATCTTTCCTAGCTTTCTGATTTCGATATTTTAGAAACTATTTTCTGTGGTTTCACAGATGAACATGTGTTCTCTCTATGCTTCTATATTTGCATTCTTGAGCGGCTTTCTCCGTTGATCATTTGATCATTTTGAAGAAGCCATTCGATTCTTTTCTGATGCAATCTTCTCTCTATTTGAAGAAACCCTAAGTCTAGGTCTGGGAAGAAGAAAATCTAGCAGTTCGGGTTTCTTATTTTTTGTTCTAATTGAAACCCTCTTTTCCCCTGATTCTAGCTCAGCTGATAAAGTGAAGGACTGTGAATGGGTTTGTCGCTACTTTGAATCTGGTAAGTCTGGTTTCTTATTTTATTTTATTTTGTGTTCATGATTTTCTCTATTTTTGTTCTGAGGATTTCAGTTTATGGTGCCATGAAGAGTATTACTGTTTGTTTTTTGATTGTAGGGGTTTGTTTGGCTTTTCCCTTAATCTTGCTGTCTCTCTTTGTTTTCTGATTGTAGGGTTTTTTGCTAACGTTATTTCCTCTATTCTAGAGGTGGAAAGGTTGATTTCCATTGTAATGGATAGTAATACTATGTGCTTTTGTATTGTAGGGGTTTGGTTGGATTTTCTCCCATAATTTGTTGCATTTGTATTCTTAGTATTACTATTTGTTTTCTTAATCTGGTTAGATTCTTTTGAAAATTTTCCTTTTCATGTTTGTTTTTTTTTTTTCAAATTTTCCTGACTTAAATTTTTGGTTTTGTAGCTTGTTCTGGGTTTTGTTTCTTGTACTAGCACTAGTGCCCGATGATGACCTTCTTGCTAACAGATGTCATTGGTAACTTCTGATTTAATTTCCACTATCTTTATAATTTTTGATTTAATTTCCATTGTTCTACCAAAAAAACCCCATTCACATTTTTGTTTGTTGATTTAATTTGTTTTCCATTTTTTTAAAGTATCTCTTTTGGTTTGTATTGCAGGCTACGCTTATTGTAGAGTTGTTGTTGGTTTCGGTTGGTGTTTCAACTTTTATTTTGTAGTTTGTACTCCGATTTGGCAGTTGTTTAGTTTTTTCCCAGGGTTCCTACATGGTACATCTATGTTCATTGGTTTTATCCGTTTTGATCTATTACTAAACAGGTATAGGAAAAAGTTTTTTGGCTTCTGTTTTCATTTGTTTCACCTCTGTTTTTTTTGTATTTTGGAAATTTAAGAAATTTTGCTACTGTATATTTATTTCACATGTCATTACTTTAACCCTTATTTATGTAATTTCTACATATTTAACATGTTGGGGGGTTTTTGTTCCTCAAGTTAACTCCATGGATCATGATTAGGTCTATGCTTCAAAAGGGCTTCTTCTTTCTATATGATTCACGTTTTCCCTTAATTTATTGTCTATTTAATTATTTGTTGCTTATTTGATTCCGGTTTATTAAATTGTTTCTTGCTTACTTGGTAATTTGATTTGTGTTTTGTAGGGTATTTTATTTAATTGTTTGTTGCTGATTTGATTTGTGGTTTTGTAAGATATTTTTATTTCTTGGCATTTATATTTGGCTTTTATTTTCTTTGATATTTCTTAGTTTTCTTTATTCCCACTACCTTTATAATTTATGATTTAATTTGGTTGGATCTATGTATTGCCACTAGGGGTAGCCAATGGATGCGTTAGGTTGGTTTTGTGTTGGAGATGGAAGTTGAAGACTAACCAATCCATCCATGTCAAATTGTCAATTATGTGACTGGTGGTATGTTAAATTAATTATGGGTTGATGTCTATTTGTGATTTAATTCCATTGCATTTTTCATATAAGGATATAGGTCTCCATTTAAGTGATAATTGTCTCTTTTAAGTGATAATTTTGCATTATACATTTGTAATAATAATTTTATTATTTTCTTTTAAATGTTTTTAGCTTCCCTCCACAAAAGCTTATTAAAAGACACGAGTGAGGCATAAAGTATGTGTGCGATAATATTCATTGTTTACGCACGTGATACCCCATCCAAACGTGACTCTCCAACCTTCTCTCTCTCGGTTTATCTTCTTGTCCTATCACTCCCCACCCATCTCTCTCTTCCAAAAACTCTCCATCTCCCTCTCTTCCTCTCCTCATTGGAAATCGTAGGTTGCTGCTGGTTTCTCTCTCTCTCTTTGCTTGCCTAATTCACCATAAGGGAACTCTAACGCTAACCCTCACCTCACCTCCCCATCTCCCCCACCTTTATTCACCTCTCTCTTCTAGCTACGGTGGGGTTTCACATTGTCAACTATTCTCTCTCTCTCTCTCTCTCTCTCTCTGCTTACCTAACTCACTGTAAGGGAACTCTAACGCTAACCCTCACCTCACCTCCCCATCTTCCCCACCTTTATCCGCCTCTCTCTTCATTTCTCTCTTCTTGCTACGGTGGGGTTTCACATTCTCAAGTATTGTACTTTCTCTCTGCTATTAGACATTTTATTCTTTGTTTCTCTATCCATTCTTAGATTTCTTGACTGTGATGAAAGCCAAATAATTTTATTTCAAACTACCTAGACAAATTAACAAAATTCATAAACCCATTTTGGTTATCATTGAAACCTTATGCAATTTCTTTATTTCTTTTTGCATAAATTCCAACTGGTTTGCTTTTTGAGATGATAAGATTACTTTTGAGTATTTGAGCACCTCCTAATCTGAGAAGATAGATGAGATCAATGTGATCCTAGTGAGTTCTTTTTTATTTTTAAATTGGGGTCTCTTGTCCTTGATTGACAAGAGACCCCAAAAAAGAGGTCTTTTAGGAGGGAAGAAAACTCAGATCAGTTGTGTTAATTTCTCTCTCTCCTCCCATGTCCTTCAAGGTTGGTAGCCAATCTTTGACTTTGTGCTTCTTTGGTTTTCTCCATTTCTCTTTCTTTCAAACTTCTCTGTTCTGTATTTCTCTCTATCTATCTAACTTGTGGGTTTTCATATAGACAATACAACTAGCAATTGTTGTGAGTGGAAAGAAGAAAGAGACTATAAAATCTTCTAACATTGTTACCTTGTCAGGTGATGATTCATACTTTGCCAATTTGCCTTTCCTTCCTTGCCCGCTGGTAGAATCCTTTATATTCTTCATCAATTTTGACCTTTTTTGTTACACAACCTAAACCAGAATACTTGGAGGAAACAAGTGAAACTCAAAGTAGAATGTGGAGAGAATTTACTAAAGAAGAGGAGAATTTACTTGCAAAACTTTTGTTCGAAGAGATAATAACTAGGTCCTTTATTTATACTGAAAAGTTCTGTTAATAGAGAGTTTTGCTTTCCTTGGATTTTATGCTTTTAGAAATTCAACTAATTTTGTGATGGTTGTAGGTGGAATGGTTTGTGAAGTATATTTATAAACAAAAATGTGTTCAATTCTACAAGCCATTCTTTTTTGCGAAGGTTCAAGGGTGGAAGACTTCAATTATAAAATCATTTTAGGGTGGTTGTAATGGAAGGGAATATTGTATTCCTTCATAGGACAACACCAACACATTTTCATTTTGATTTCTTTAATCTTGTCTTATTTGAATATAAAGCATTTATTTTCTATCTCCTTGACAAAACCAATTCCAAGTATTTATTTTGAATATAAAGCATCTTCAAGAGATCATTATCCTGTCATTAGCCCTTGCAAAGCAGGGCCCCCCCGTTAGTATTTGATTTATTTGGAAAAGCAGTAATAAGATGGGGAAAATTTTAGTAATATATAAGCGGAGGTACTATGGTATTTGTTATTTGATGATAATATTACATTAATTGATAAAATTAATAAATGATCAAATGCAAAATTAAATTTATGTTTTATTTGTTTTCATTGTAATTTCATTTGCACTTGTACATATCTATGGGGGTGCAAATGAGAAAATTGCAAATTTTAATTCATTTTCATGCTGAATTTTATTTTATTTTGCTTCAGGTTTTATTTCACTTTTCCAGCATCAAAGATAAACAAAATAAAGTAAAACCTATAATAAAATTCAACTAAAATTTGGACTCAACTCATTTGCATTACTTTACTTCTGCATTAATGCAAATGAAATTATATTGTAACCAAACATAGCCTTATGGACAAATACGTTAAGCTTCATTTTGTATTTGCACTCTTCTCAAATGGAGCATTTTAAAACAAGTAGGGCTACAACAAAATATATGCCATATATGTAATTTTGATAATAATAAAAATGCAAACCATGGAACATTTAATTGAGGAATAAGAGATAATTCAATATGAGCCTATTTGTTATCTTGGTTCCATATTCATAATAAGGGAGAGATTGATGCTAGCCATAGAATTAGAGTAGGATGGGGAAAATGGAAGGGCATATCATAAGTTGGGTAGTCAAAAAATAGTTGGATATAAAATAATTCTAAGGTCATCAATGCTTTATGGCATAGAGAGTTGGGTAGTCAAAAGTAAGGCATCCAAAAAAATGAGTGGCAAAAATGCATACGTTGAGATGTATTAAGTGTATAATGTGTAGTATTTTACCTTTAAACAATATACTTCAACATCAATAATTTAATGTGTACTATTTCAATAAGGGTATTACTTGTTTGTGTTAGGGCTGTGCCTTATTTTTTAATCGTTGGATTATTTTTAATCAAATAATTAGTGTGGTTCTTATTTAGGTTAAGGAGGGTTTTATATGTAAAATATTTCCTTTGTATGTAGGGTTTAGATAAGTGAGAAAGAATTTCTCTTTTTCTTGTTGGAGAAAAAAAAGTAGGGGGAAAAGAGGGTGCTCTTGTTATATGAGTGGGGTTTTTCTCTTCCCTCCCCTCTCTCTCATTCTTATTTGTTTTGTTGACTTCTGGGATGCACTACCCCCCCGTTGTGTGTAGTGCAACATGATTTATTTCAATAAAAAAAGAGTGTGTGTGTGGGGGGGGTTCTCTTGTTTTTGTTCTTCGGATTGAGAGAGGAAAGAGAGAACGAGTGTACAAGGGTTAAGGGTTGCTTTGTGTTGCAAGCTACAAGGTACTTGCATTGTTTCTTATTTTCTTTTATAGTGATGAATAGTTTTCATCTTCCTCGTGGACATAGGCGGTAAGGCCAAACCATGCAAGTCCTTTATGTTTTTGGTGGTGTTTGTTTTTATTTGTATTTGCTTGGATTTTGTTGCTTTTGTTGCTATTGGATTTTCTTGGTTGCTATTTCATTTCAAATATTTTGTGGTTTTATCTTGTAAATGGTTATTGTAAGGCCCCGACAAAGTGGTATCAAAGCTCCCAAGTTGATGTTTACAAGGTGTTTATGAAATTGTTTAAGAGATAATGGCAATAAAAGGTACAAGTTTTAAATTCTAGATTAAAAAGTTTGATGCTAAAGGCAACTTTACCTTATGGCAAAGGTGGGTGAAGGACATCCCAATTCAACAATGCTTGGCTAGAGCGTTGAAAGGAAAAAAATGGGAAGCCAAAAGACATGAAGGATGCTGATTAGGAGGACATTGAGTCAAGGTATGTTAATACAAGTTGATTGCACTTGACTGATAATGCTATGCTTAACAATATGGAGGAATATTCTGCATTGAAGTCGTAAAAGAAGCTGAAGAAACTTTATTTAGGGAAAATCTTAACCACAAAATTATATCTGAAGTGACAATTGTACGGACTAAAGATGAAAGAGGGTGGGAATTTCTTGGAATGCCTAAATGTGTTTAATGGTATCTTACATCAAGTAGGGAAAGTTGATGTCAAGGTGGAGAAAGAAGACAAGGCCCTTTTGCTTCTTACCTCGTTTTCTGATTTGTATGAAAACCTGGTGACAACATTATTGTATGGCAAAAGATAGTGAAGTTGGAAGAAGTCATTGTGTCTCTTCTATCCAATGAGGTTAGGAGAAAGTTTAAGCATGAGAGTGGGCAAGATTTTGCATTGAAAAGGAAGGCTATTTAATAGAGGATGTGAGAGTGGCAGGTTTAGATCCAACGCCGAGGAAAATGGCAAGGTTCAGTGTTATAGATGCAAGGATTTTGGTCACATGAAGAGAGGTTATCTTGCACAAAAAAGGGTGGGGATGAATATAGAAGCATGTCAATTGTATTGGATGATGATGGAGATGTTTTCATAATTTTCAAAGGTATGTTCAATTTTTCTCCAAATGAGTGGGTTTTAGATTCCGGTGTTCTATTCATGTTTGCTCCAAGAGGGAGTATTTTGGCATGTTTCAAGAGAGGAAGAGACGTATTCCTTCCTAGGGTGACGATGTATCTACGTGTGACATCACAGGTGTTGGGACAATGAAAATCAAGTTGCTTGATGGAGTGATTTGCACTTTGGGTGGCATTGAGTATATATCAAAAAATGCATAAGAATCTAATATTACTTAGCTAGTTGGATTCTAAGGGTTGTAAGGTTTTTGTTGCAAGTGGAGTTATGAAAACTACACTCGATGGTACAATCTTGATAAATTAAGGAAGAAAAATGCAAGAACATGTATCATTTGGTTGGGAATATAGTGGTTTCCATGACTTTGATGGGGTGTTGGAAATGGGGTGCGCAAGGTAGTGTGGCCACATAGAGAGTTTCTTTTATAGTTGGGGTGGAGACATGCTACATGTTTCTAGTGTATAGACCATGGTAAGAGGAATGTTTTTGTTAGGGGAGAGGAAGGATCGAGGTCCCTCTTTGAAGTTAACTAGGACTATTAACTCAAGTGCATCTACGCAGGTGCATTGGTCATTTTGTTTGAATTTGGTGGGGTCAAGATTAGATGATTCAATTTATGTGTAGTTGATGGTGTTTTACAAGGCCAATGGAGGTTTGCGGTATTTGCGAACAGGTGGAGGCACAAATAGTAGATCTTCAAGGTTATTGAAAAATAAGCCAATGTGCAAATTGTTAGGGTTATGCCATATTTTTGAACCATTGGATTATTTTTAATCTAATGGTTGGTGTAATCCTTATTTAGGTTAAGAAGGGTTTTACACAAAGTTGAAAGTATCTATACATATCGGGCCGTATCGGTTGACACATATTGTATCAAGAGCTTCTTGATACGCCCCTACAGAGGGTGTATCGAGGTTTCGACTGGTTCGGGGGGTGGATGGACCTTAAGCCGACCCCTTTGAATCAAATCTGAAAAAAAACTAAACAAAAATTAAAAAAGCTACTGATTTTGCTTGATATGCCTTTACTAGCGTATAAGGCGTATCAATATTGAACCTTGGTTTTATATATAAAAGATTTTTTTTTTTTTTTTTTGTATGTAGGGTTTAGATAAGTGAGAAAGAAGTTTACCCTTTTTCTTGTTGGAGAAAAAAAGGTAGAGATAGAGGGTGCCCTTGTTGTAAAGGTGGGGTTTTTCTTTCTCTCTCTTTTTTTTTGGTTCTACAGATTGAGAGAGAAGAAAGGGAGATCGGGTATACAAAGGTTAAGGGTTGGTTTAGGTTGCAAGCCACAAAGTATCTTGTATTGCTTCTCATTTTCTTTAATAGTGAAGAACAAGTCATCAAATATTTATTAAGACCCTAAATGGATATGTTGTGCTGAAGTTTATAATAAGGTGGTGAGGGATCTTGGCTAGTATTTTTTCTTATAATAATTTAATCTTAACTTCACTTGCCTACACTAAGAAAACAAATTTTCTTGGTTCATGGTAGTAGTGTTTTCAACCCACCGTTGACTTGGCTGGTTGAACCGTTCGAGCCGTCACCTAATAATTTCAGGTTCGATTTTGTTGAAACTTTTCTTTTAGTAAAAAAATGTTGACTTGGTCAAAAGTTTTCCGATCCGAGCATTTCAACTCTTGACCCATTCGACATGGTCATCGGGTCGTGGGTCGTGGGATGCCATGACTTTGTACTTTGATGTCTGACTGGGGTGATTCTTTTTATTTTGGGCAATTTTTCGAGACCTATGCCATCCGAAAGGGGCCATAGGTGCCTTGCCCCACTATTTTTGCAAAAAAGGCCCCTTTTTTGACCTTAAATTACAATTTTTAATTTTTTATAAATAAAAAATTAAAAATTGAATTTAAAATATAAATTAAATATAAAATAATACATATATTATATGTAAAACATAATTATACACTATTTAGTGATAAAATATGTATTTTTGCTTTCACACGAGAATGGTTTTACCTATTCGACCTAGATAGTCGTACAGGTGACTTGCGACCAAGAGGCAAAAGCAAGTCAGACTCCAGGTCGATTTTTAAAACATTGCATGGTAGTGTCCACCGTTGGGTTTCTTCCTATTAAAACTGCTTAGCAACCTTTTACTTGGAACTTCTAACAGCCTATGCATATATTATCATACAAAAAAGAATATGCTAAACTTTCACCTGTTTTGGGAGCTATCAGAATCCTTAGTAGTAGTAATATGTAGAAGTGAATTACTTTCTAGAAGTTCTAAAATCTTTAAATACAATTTAATTATTTGGTTATAAAACATGAATGAGTTTAAATTTAAGAGAAAACTCCCAATGAGTATCCTTTAAAATGTGACAATCGAGTATCTTAACTTTCAATTTAATTCATCGTCAGTCAAAGCATAAAAAGACGTAAATGCCCACGGATGGGTAATTTTGTTTTACGTAAATACCACACAGATCGCTGGATTCCTTCAGCTCTTTGATCGTCATCAGGTACTCACCGGGAAACGCCTATCCACCAAATGCCTCCCTCCCTCCCAGGTCAGATTCCTTACCATTCTTTCTCTCTGTCTTCCATTTTTCACTTCATTTATTCCCTGCACCAATGACAAAATTAATAGAAGGAAAAAGATTCAATTGTTTTGATATGTTTTATTCAAAATTCAGGCAGTCGATTCTACAATGTAGTCGGCAACAACAAAAACAACTTTATGTGCGGTCACCTCCAGAAAATGTGAAGCATTCCATGTCGGAAATCTGTTCTCCAGTGTTGGAAATTTCAACTCCGGTGTAAACGCCTCTTCCTCTTCAAGTGTTCAATTTCAAGGAAGGTTTTCAATTTCAAAGAAGCACCGAGGCTTTCTCTGGCAGAGCTACTGTTGATGGAAAGGGAAACCTGTACCCAAGGGAGATCCGAATGAATGCAGCAATTTTAGTTGCGACTCAATGCAGCGTAAACTCTAGAAAAGCGGCGTCTGCCGATGATAATGATAAGCAACACCGTTTGCCCAGCGTCATCGCATGGCTTATGGGCCTCGAGGTGCTGCTAGACTCCAACCGTGAACCTCTCAAGAAAGTTGGAACAGCCTGAGCTCTACTTTAGAGTGAAGGTGTCAAGAGATCTGCTTCAGTATCGTTTTGTAGACGGAAACAACTTCCAGATGAAGCAGCCTTGCCAAACGAATTTCGGAAGCAACGTCATAAGCAATGCGACAAGAGATAATGATGCTCGGCAAGATAATAAATCAAACGTTAGGACACCGGATTTAATGGACTTCTGCGTCAGAAAACCGAAACACGAGCAATCGGAATCTCCAAGCGGATGCCAATCCGCGTCCACATGGAAAGCGCCCTAGCAACAAGATTTCTTCTGGAGCCAAAGCAGGCGGGCTCTCTATATGGAGAGATCGATAAACAGTTGAAGATGTAGGGAATCGATGAACCAGCCTGGAGACGCTGAAACATATTTTCGAAGCTCTACAACTCCAAGGTACTACATTCTAAGAAATCGGCAGAGCAACAGATTGTGCCTAGAACGTTAATGGTACTCTTATTTTGTATTTTCTCGTAAAACTTTAGATGGGTTCTGCTTTTCTCCAATTTCAAATTGATGAAGGGGGTATGTTGCAGAAAAGGCGAATTAGAGAAGTTGTCTTCTTCTAAACTGTTATTTTCTTGCAGTATGAGAGAGAGAGTTGAAGGAAAAGAAATGACGAAAGTTGTCTTGGATCTTCCTTTTTGAAATCTGAGAATTGGGATGGAGTTTCCATTGATGTAACATCGAAAAAAGCAGTCCAGAAGCGACGAATTGATCCAGAGAAAGTGTTACCGAGTGTCTCGATTTCTTCTGTGATTGGACTTCTGATTTTTCTTCACACATCTAATAGTCTCCTCTATGGAAAATGGTAGAATGGTCTAAATATTATCATAAAGGTTAGTTTTGGTATCGTGGAATTATTTAAACTGCACTTCATCTCACTTGATTATCGCATTTTAAAGTTGAGGGACTAAATTGTCACTTGAGCCAAAATACAGGGTTCTGATATGGAATTTTCCCTAAATTTAAACAGATTAGTTCTTACACAAAAAACATGGGTTTAAATTAGGAAAAATCCCGAGTACCTTGAACTTTAGGGGTTATCTCAAATCAGCCCCTGAACACAACACTTGAAACTTTCAAAATGTGTCTAATAGTTGTCTGCCTTCAACAGTCTGACAGTAGTTATCTGTGTCATGTGATGGCATGTCACTTAACTTTTAAAAATATCAAAACTATCTTTCGAAAGAAGAGACTCTTGGGACGGTGAAACGTCTCGAGGAAGCAACTTCTGGTTTCCAATTGATAACTACCCCAGCCCCAAGTACCGGAGAACAGGATTCGGGTTTGTTAGCAAATAGGGAGGAAGAAATGAGTCAGGTGGCTGACAGAAGTACAGATAAGAGGAAGAGAGGGCGTATGGAGAACCAGATTGGGACAAAACAATTCCAGTAAAGTTCAACATAGTTGCTCCGCTCATCACCCCAGTATCTGAACAACACAGAAATTAAATTGAAAAAACAAAAATATCCTCGTTTTATTTCGTATACTTCAAAAGATGAACAGAACAATTGACCAATAAAGACTAACCGTAACCAAATATGATAGAAATCATGGAAGCTAAAGGTGCATAGGTCAAGGCAAACTTTTTCTTGTTGGGTGATTCAATCTCTGGTATTTCATGGACATCAGTACTGGCTTCAATTTTCTGGTCGGCCTTAGCCATTTTTTTAGACAGATCAAGCAAGCGATACTTCGTGACCAGTGAGGCAGTGAGTAAGCCTATAAAGAGTGCTGTGCTTTTAGTGAATAGCTAGATTAGGAACAAACACCTGGTTGTGGTTGCTCATTACATTGCTGACAGTTAAAGCATTTATATAGTCCATTTTGACACCCAAACAAAATTTACCATTCAACCAGAAGAAAATATATAAGCGGAGAAGTACCACGTCATTAGTTCCATGGCTGCTACCATTGCTGGTAGCAAACCTCCACGACAGTACCGTCGCCAGCTTTGCAGCGGTTCTGGACCTCCAAATAAATCAATCCGGAACACTGCTCTCCTCCAGATCTACTGTGGAGTGACCATTAAAAAAGGGCGAATAACGGTTCAGTCAGGGTCAGAATTTTTAGGCCCAAAGTATAGTTGGGATAGGTGTTAGTTCGGAATTGATACTAATTTACGGCAGACATTGATGCATAGAATAGGGGTATTTAACATTTTAAATGTTTATAGATCTGCAGTGGGATTCAAAAATCTGTAATGGGCCTGTCCATACTTCATAAAAAAAAGCCTACTGCAAAACTAGAAAATTAAATATGTTACATAAAATTTACCATTGACACCCAAACAAAATTAATCTTTATCGACAAATCAGGTAGAAGTTTTATAAACTTTTTTGTTTATTGTCCTAAGGACTAATTATGGGGATGTTTGGAACTGTGGTTGTTTTTCAAAAAAACGGTGCCACGTCGGATCCACATAGGTGTTTCAACAAACGCCCATGTATCTCATTGTTTGGTTCAGCCAATTATTGAAAAATCGGGCATGCCTCAAAAATCGGGACCCCACTGATGCATGAAATGTCAAATTTGGTGTTTCATGCATCGGTGAACTGTTTCCCCCAACAATTGACTGATGTGTATCCTATGTGGTGCTTATCTGTCAGCACATACATGAAAAATGGTGATGAAAATCACCTTACCAAACAACATAGTGTTGCTCACTGCCTACGTGGCAGAAGCGTTTTTTTGTGAAAAACGGGTCTTGGAAGCATGGGTGTTTTTTCTTGAAAATCGGTCCCAAAAAGTGCCCATGCTTCCAAACACCATCTATGTTTCTGAAATCTGTCGGTGCTTCTTACATACTGAGTAAAACATATGGTATCCAGTTATTTTTAAGGTGGAATGATAATAGAGTTCAATAGAATCAAGATTTAAATCGAAGGAGTTTTGTTTAAATTGATTTGTTGGAAGTGGCAGATAAAGAAAATTAGATGACACTTGATGGGTAGTTTTGACATTTCCAAAATTAACTGATGAACTGTTAATGATAAAGACCTATTAGACACATTCTGAAAATTCCGATATTGTATAGACAGTTTTGAAGTTCAAGGACTAACTTGAGAAAATCCCTACCAGAGTTCGGATATCCTGCCCACACAAACTCTGCCCATATCTACCCATATAACATCGCAGTCATACATAGAGACCATCTCATCCTCCTACATAATATTATACAGGGGGAAATATTTCCAATTCAAAGGGGTAGTGTGTTGTGGGTAGACGTGAACAGGAGATCCGGAGTCATCCGAATAATCCAAGGTATGAATCTCACGAAGGAAAGACAATCCTAACAAAATCCTATTTGATGCTTACAGCGAATAGACAACAGGAATGAAAATCTCTCAAAAGTCTTGTATTGAATACTAAACCTTGACCAACACCGACGATCAGTCTTCAAATCTCAATTATTAGGAAGTTAGAAAACGGGAACAAGACATTCCTAGTTCCCAAGCAAACTACTTACATTGGTGGATGGCAGGAGGTGGCAACTGGCAAGTAATTTGGTCCATCTTCACTGTCCTTTGGAAATACAGACGGCAATGGTCCCACCTTAGCCTGTCTCTGTAAATAATGTACCCCTGTTTTTCTTTCATTCTAGCTTAATAGAGCATAGTGGGGGAAAATAGGGTTTAAAAAATTTAAATAGCTAACGTTAAATCACATGTTAACGGTATATTTAAAAGTATTTGAAAAATTAGGATATGTTTAATTCATTTTCGTATATTTAAATCTTTCATTCCCACCTACAACTTCTAATGTTGTGCAATCTGAATGCTCTATCATGTAGTGTGATTCGGACTCTAACTGAATGTTGATCTGATTGGCCAAGCTGATGTGAGTGTCTGAGCTGAGGCATATTGCAAGGAATGAAAGACGAGAGTGCTTGGGTGATTTTTATCTGGGGAGAGCACTCTGATGCTTAAGTTAGTAGGTGTTTGACAAGTTTTTTGAAAGAGTGAGAGAGTTCTAGAAGGTTTAGTGCACACACATTTTTGGGTGGATCTGGGCACCTTATATAGGTCCCTGGACTCAGAGAGTTCAGGGTAATGGTCTTGAGCTCTTTGTGGAGCCGTTTTCCTATTTTCATGGCACGTTAAGGTGTTAGTTGAGAGATCTTTGCGGGGGTTATGGTTTGTTTTAAGTGAAGTCGAGGTGAACAACATGGTGAGTCATTCTAATGGTCGCGCTATTGGCACCTTTGATAGTGAACTGCTGGGGGCGGTTAGTGAGCTCTTCCTCACAGGTCGCCTTAGGTCCCCTTGGCTCGGCTGGCTCCCAGGACAGGTTGCCATAATCTTACAGGTTTGCCAGTTCGGCTTGAGCAAAGTGCTCCAAGCTAACTTACCAAGCTGGTCTGTTGATTCAGCGCCGATGTGTCATCTGGGAGCCACGTGTCGCTAAATGATTGGGAGGACCAAATTACCCCTAATCAACTTCCATGACGAGCCCAAGCAAATTTATTTAGAGAACAAAATAAATTCTTTCTGCACGTCCATTTCAATTTTGTTTGGGGTGGGGGGTGGGGGCAAAAGCTATAAAACCGAAGAGGTAGTTCGGTACCGATGCGTTGCACGTCCATTTCAATTTTGTTGACGTGGATTCGTTGCCACATCAGAAAAAAATGGAATTGTCCCAAAAACGATTCGTTTTTTAGTGTTTTTTTTTGAAAAATGTTTAGAGAACGTTTCTCCCTCGAGATTCCCAAACCACTTTTTCAGACGAAACGAGAATTTGATGTTGCTTGGATCATCCCCTGATTCAAGAAAGCCAAACCCTACGTGGTCCCATCTGGCATCCCACATGGAAACTTGCCACGCCAGATTAGAAGTGATTCGGTGCAATGTGATGAAAGTTAACTCCAAATAATGGCCCAAGTAGAACCCTAACCCCACTTTCCTTTCCCATTCTCTCTTGCCGCCACGGGAGGAGGCTACTAGTGAAGCAGAGCACTAACCACCGATCTCCACGCTCTGTTGCTGGTAAGTTACTTCTATCTCCGGTGGTTTCTTCCTGTTCATAACATTTTTGGGACTGTAACAACCATTTTCTCCCTATTTTCTGCAGATCGAGTTCATTGTTATTCATCTCCATTGCAAGCCAACCTAACCACTGATCAAGTAAGTACAAGCCTCCCCATATTGTCAAAGGAGTTCACCGTAAATATTTATCACGTGTGTAATAATATAAATTATTCATAAATTAATTATATATATCTAATATTTAAAATTAGTTATGATTAATAACTTTATAAATCATGTTACTTGTTTTTGAACCGTTAGATTAATATCACTACACACGGTGACATGCACATGCATTGCACACAAGTATTCCACAAATAAGAAATACCAAACTTGCATAGCCATGGCACCAACAATATTTAGAACAATACATTTCTTTTCTCTGATGTGGCATGAATTAGTTCTAAACATTTTTTTACAGTAGAATGATAGAATCAGTGGTTTGTGTTTCTCGAGGTGTTCCTGATTTTTTAAGAAATGAAATAGACATGCAACATATCGGTGCCAAACAATCTCTAAATTAAATCCTACAAAATGTGGAGGACAATGATCTCCACTTGAATGAAAAATAAATGTATTCATAATTCTATTTTAAAACCCCTAGCTTTACTCATGGTGTGGAAGAGGAGGGTGCGCCATAATTATTAATAAACCCCTAGCTTTATTCATAATTCATATATGTATGTATGGTTAATCCTTATGCGCGTGTATTCTCCTATACTAGTTATTGATAAATTACAATGACATTGGCAAACTTAAGTGGACCCAGTAACACAACCCAACTCGACTTGAAGATGATCGTCTTCTTAACCCGACTGCCATCAC